TAAATGTGCAGGAAAAACAGAAGAAAAACAATCAGTATTGATTGCAAAATTAATTTTGTTGTTTGTATAGGACCTACTTAGTGCTTTCTGCTGCAGAGGCAGCTTTTGAAGTAGAAACATGGATAACTAGCTGAATAAATCCTATTCCTAACATTTTTGTCTCACTGGCAATGGTACAGCACAACATTGGTTTCAACTCTACTAAGCATTAGGTGGAAAGGAAGTGGATGGAGAATTTGTCAAATTGAAAGGAATGAACTGATGGTGAAGCCACGGCTTTTACACTCCAGTGGTTTGGATTCTTCCCAGCAGCTAGTACCACCTCTGTTTGCTATTGCACAGCTGCTATACTCAAGCAAGTTAGAAAATGCTATCCTCCAGTTACTTTCCCCATAGCACACCCCAAGGAGAACCATTTCCTACACCACATAAGAGCTTCAAGCAAACACTGTAGCTCCACACACACCCATTTTGAGGCTCTTCATGCTCTAAGGTTTCATTAAGTGTTTCCTAGTTGTAGCTCACTGGCCCTGGAGAGGCCCATTTCTTCATGCATAACACTTCACCTTAGTTCAGTAGGGGTCAATCAGCCCACAAATTAGCCTGCACCCTCCCTAACTGCCACTCTAATCCCTTTCCCTTACCCAGTCTGTTGCTCTGCTTTTTACTTACTGCCCTATCTGCTGCTGTGCTATTTGTTCCCTAATCTGCTGCATGCCACACATTGGCAACCCCTGCCTTAGTTCATTCTATCATGATTACTGGAAGCTCAACTATTTCAGCCATTGTCTTCCTAATAAAGAGAACTTCCAGCTGAGAAATAGTATAAGCAAGCAACATCTGGTACTCAAAAAATATAGAGCATAATTTGACAGGGTCTGTAAGTCAGCCACCTGATTTTACACCCAACCATTTGACTACCATGGCCAAGTTTATACTGGACAGATAAGACTTGGTTCTTCTGATGTTTTCACTCTCCATTTTCTCACAACACCAACTCTATCACTCTGTCCTGGCACCACTGCTTTTATCCAGTTCCCTTTATCTAGCATAAGTTTTCTACTTTTCCATTTAATCTGGCTCTTCCAGCAAACAGATCCATATTTCGTATATGGTCTTGCAATTTTTGCTTATATATAGGGCTGAAGTGATTAGAGTTAAACATCCTTTACTGTTGATACAATTGATACATTTTAATACTATATCTGATTTTACTGTGTCAATTGTGAATCTATGCACAACATTTTTATAGATTCATGATTTGATTTATTACCATATTTATACTAATAATTATACTATTTTTTATAATGGTTGGCTCTATTTTATTATATTTGTATTTCTGTTATTTTTGCCTAAATTTATTTATATTACAGTTGTATGTTTTTCATGTCATTTCCAGGAGTGTGGCTTTCAGCCAGAATCCTTAATAAACTTAACTGATAATAAACTAAACTGAAACTACTTTTCCATTTTTGAGCAAGTCTCTTTTGAAGCCACTTTATCATCTTTTTATTTTAGACAACTGTTTGCACATTTCAAACATGGGAACGATGGCTAAGACAACTGCCTAAAGCCAAGCCAGCTGCTGCTGTTGTGTGTGTTGCTGTTTGGGAGGTTAAGATCAGAGACTAGGCCAGAGGGTAAGCAGGTCTTCCAGGAGCCTTTTGCTCCTGGAATTAATTTGTGGTTAGACAAGGCAGAGGTTGGGGAAATGCTTTCCACTGTTACTTTGGGGGCAATCCCTTCCCATCACTATGTGGAGCAGCCAGTCACTGCTTAGTTGAAGTATTAGCATCTGTTACTAGGGTCTGGCATGGATGATTACAGTCAGTGGCCCAGCTCAGGGGTTTTCAGCCTTTCTTAACAAGTGAACCCCTTCTGTCTCAAAAGTTTCAGCTCATGTACCCCTTTATATTTGTTTTTGGTTTTTAGGGGGGGGGGGCAGATTGAGGCCCCCACAGTGAGGGAGGGAGTGGGGCTGGGGCAGGTGCTGCAAAGCCAGGGCGGGGTGCAGGACAGAGCTGCAAGTGGCTCATCCAGGGGGTGCTGGGGTGGGGGCAGTTCCTGCTGCTGCATGCACCCCATGAGGGAATGGGGGACATGTGCCCCCAGATCCGTGCAAGGGGAGGGGGCTACAGGAGGGGCTGCAACCACTCTAGAATTTGCCGTAGTCTGCTCAACAACCCACCTCCCACCCCGCAGCCCAGCCCAACACCCCAGCTGGGAACAGTCCAGCACTGCCCTGGCCCCAGTCCACAGCCCAACCTGCATGGGCATCCAGGGGCACACGCCCCCCGTGCCCTCCCAGAGTGCTTGCAGCAGTGGAAGCTGCTGCCCCCTGGACAAGCTGCTTGTAGCTGAGTTCTGTGCTCTGCCCCAGCTGGGCAGCACCTACCCCTGCCCCAGCCCCACTCCCTCCGCCACTGCACGGGCCTATGGAAGCAGGGCTAAGGCCGAGCTGCAGCCACTTCAGAATTTGCCGTAGCCCCAAGCCCCATCTCCCAGTACCACCACCTGCCCCAAGTGTAGTCTGGCCCAGCCCCCCACTGGGAAGAGTCCAATGCTGGCCCAGCTGCACCTGCAGTGACAGCCCACCCTCCTTGCAGATCCAGGGGCACATGCCCTCTGTGCCCTCGTGGAATATGGATAACAGCGGTAACACCCCCCCGCCTGTCCTGTGCCAGCTGCCCCAGCTCCACTCCCTCCCCCAACAGCAGAATTACCACCTGGACCTGGCTGCTCTCTGTGTGTCCATGCTGCACTCCTGGCCACCCGCACACCACAGGTTTGTGCGCACACACAGCAATTAATCATCCACATCAGTTCTGTGTACCCCCTTGCAACCCTTCTAAATACCCCTAGGGGTACATGTACCCCTAGTTGACAACCACTGGCCTAGCCTATTGCAATTCCTACTAGATGGAAACTGAAGAGATTCTTCCAGGCTCAGAAGGGAGTTAGTGCCTAGATCATTATCACTTCTTTCTTGAACTTGTCCCAAGCTATCAGGATTCAGTTAGCTGGCTTCTCAGCTTCCCACTCTCTATGTATGAGCAACCAGTTTTTGCTCACCCTGCAGTAACTACATTTCTAAACTGCTTCCTCCCAGTATCCTCTCCCATGCACAAATCACTTTTGGAATTAGAATTGTTCTCACAGAACTCTTGGGACCTTTGTCAAATTGCTCTCTACCTTAGTTGCCTGTAAAAAAATAAAAATACAAAGCATGTGTCACAACTATAGCCTTGATCTACAGCTAGTGAGATACAGGTCCTATGACAAATTCTCCCTAAAGAAGGAGTGTTGCATGTGGGAAGGTAATCATATTTTCAAACACCTGTCTACAGTAATCTTAATTCCATTCTAGCCTGCTGCTTATTTTTCCTCTCAACTGTTCACACAGATTAGTTCCTAAATGTATGTTTAATGCTAAAAAAAACTTTTGGATATACAACTCCAAATTCCCTAGATCAAATCAGGGGGCAAACTGGCTCATTTCCCAGGTTGTTCAAGTAATACATGCAGATTGCTAGGATTTCATGTTCAGTTACTTAGAGCTAGAGTACAAGTCAGCTACATCTAAAGTAGTTTCAGCCACTGAAATTTTTAAGGTAAGTACTTGGAATGCTACACTCTTGCACAGGACTTCTCTTAACCTTCATCTCCTTATTTGTTGCTCAGCTTGGAGGCACAATTGTGCAGCTAGAAGTGTCTAGTACCCAAGGTACTTTCTGAAGATTACTGCTGCTCAAGAGTAGAGTATCTGGGGCAATTTTCTAAGGAGAAAAAAAAAATTGTACTATAGGAGTTGGTGCACTTTAAAAGTCTCAAAGAAGGTATAATATGGATACAAGATTACCTTCAACACTTTTGCATCATTAACTAGATTGTTTTTGTATTTCTTAGGGCTACTCACTCCCTCACCTATTAGTTTCTAAGGCCCCTGACAGACATTACACTTAAGACACGATTCACTGGCTAATCATGTCTTTAGTGACCTGGCCACACGTTCATACAATCAATGGTGTGATAAAACAAGGAATAAGCCAAAGTTATTATATGTGTAATAGCTTTATGAGAAGCCAGCTGGCTCCTATCATGTTTAATTGAATGTGTGGTAATATCCAGCCTCTGGACCCTTTCAAATCTCCCATGTTCTCCAGAGGCTGGGAGTGCCACACAGCTGACCAGGGCTGCACCTTCATTGACAATATGGCATGATGGGATCTGATGTGGGACCCCACAACCACGTTTCCTGCCATGCGCCTTTACTTTAACATCTTGCAGTGGGCTAAGACTGTCACTTGTGTACTCACCCTTGTTTCATGACTTAGCAGAAGCAGTCACAGGACAAGCTTCAATCACTGACATCACCCGATTTTCCATCTCCAACACAGGCTGGCTATACCATCTTTCATATGTAATCCCAGTTTTGTCCCTTGCATCCAGACCAGTTAGATTTTACCACTTCCTCCATCACATTCAAGATGGAAAACTTTCCCACCCACAACTAACTCAGCAATATCCTCACTCTCAGCGTTCACAGCTGTGCTCCACTATTTTTCTATCCTTTGGTTTTATTGTCAGTGATGGCTGGCTGTCTTAATTGTGGAAACAGCCTAACATCTTCACTCTTCCCGTGTTGCTCTCCACATCAAACTCCCTCTGTAAGATAGCCTGCAAAGCCATCCTCCTGTGTCAAGACCAAAAATAAACTGTATAATTTACTTCCTTCTTCCATCACAATTCTTTCCCTCACACTGAAAGCTGTTCAAGAAAGGAAATGTCTTGTACACGGCACCTAGCACACTGTGGGTGCTTCTGTCACCAGAACACAAATAGCAGGGATGAAACAGCAGAAGTGCCTGTTTCCCTCCACACATCCATAAAGCTCTCCAATAGGCCTTCTGGAGACTTTCTGTCTTTGTCCTGCAAATTCCCAAGCTATATCTGGATCTTGCACCATGGCAACCAAACAAAATTAGTTGAAACACAACACATAGTGGGTTAAAGACATTTATAAAAAAAGTGTGTCATATTTACAAACTGTTGTGTAAGCATGAAACCTTCCAAATGACAAAACTCACAGTTTTTGAATTCTATAAAGATACAAAATGCAATTTTCCCCTTTCCCCCCCTGCAGCACGGGACAGAGAGAATCTCCTTCCCCTGCAACCTTCTGCCATCAGAAAGTGGGGGCCTGCTGGGTAAGGATTATGGGGGACAAAACACAAGCCCCTTTAAAGAGGAGCTGGAAATATCAAACTGAGGCCAGGAGCAACTCACTTGTTTCCTTGGGAAGTCTGGCCAATGGATTCCTCTGGGAAAAGAAAACTAGGGTCAGTGTCCTAATGTTATTAGTGGGATGGAAAGGTTATTTAGCTGCTCTTTAATAAAACTGCTTTTGGACACAGTACCGCTGCCCCAACTTCTCCACTCATCCTTTCAGATACCTTTGAGTCAGTTTCCATTTATAGTCCCAAGTTCATTTATGGGTTCAAAGTGAAGGCCCCAATACATAATGTAAATATTTCATCCCAGGTGGGAAACAGTCTGCTCTCTACAGCAAAGGAGCAGGCTATTAATGTTGAGCAGTATATGAACCTAAGCAGTTATTTTCAGCTAGGGACTGTATCTGTGTCAAGTAGGAGTGAGTCATTTCAGACAGTAAATGAAAATAGTGCTAACAGCATCTCATTTTAAGGGACCAGCCACGGGACACAATCCCCGGTGAAGGCTAAGAAACAGAGGCTCTTCTACAACCACCCTCCCCACATCATCTGGGGTTGCAAACAGAAACCCCGTGCCAGCACCACGTTGAAACAACGCACAACAGAGACTGAACAAGACCAGGGAAAGTGACAGTCTATAAGCTACAAAGTTGTGTGGTCAGTATACAAAGCACTGGTTTAGGTACAAGAGGCAGGGGTACTGTGCAAGGGGGTTAGTGTAGAAACCCAAACCACAAATGCAAAAACACTGCAAGCTACAGGAGATGGACATCCACATGAAATGGGCTATGGAGCCCAAGGAAGACTTGCTTATGGGAGTTGCCCCATAGCCCAGCCTTATCCCAGTAGCACATTCACTCCACATCAGATGCTGCACAGACTCCACACAGGACACTGATCATTCTGTTTGAAAGGATTTCCTCTCAGGTAAATTAGTACAGGAGAGACAGAGTCCAGACCCTGGTAGGGCTAGGACTGTTCTCCATACCAGGTGTAGCTTTTTCTGTTATTGGAGCAGCAAGTTTCAAAGAGAAATCTTCATGCATGATCCAGTCATAGGCTTATTCTCAAAAGAAATCTTCCTACCCCATCTCTAGGAGCTTCCTCTCACAGTGACCTCCAAGAGCTGTCCAGCCTGGGAAATGGTCCCATGTCCCTTTTGGAGAATGTTCAGGGTCATGCTAAGCATTTGCTGATTTAGTCTTCATCCAAGAATGAAGAATATTTGCATTCTTGAGTAATGTAGGGAGAGATTGTTTCTCTTTTCAGCCTTCATTTACTAGGCTAAACAAGCCAACCTCTTTCAGCCTTCTTTTGTAAGAAGACTCTCCATTCTTCTACTTATCTAATTAACTCTTCCCCTGTTCCAACTTGTATTTTTTTCTGGAATCAAAATGACCAAAATTGCATATAATTCCAGATAAAGACTTACCAGGGTCTTATACAATGGCATAAAATGCCCTTTACTGATAATCTCTCTCCAGATACAATACAAGACGGCATTTTTCTTTCCTGTGACTATCACAATAGAGGTTTATAGTCATCCTGTGACTGACCAGCACATCCAAATCTTTCTGCTTTTTAGTTGTTCCAGCTGACGAGGTTCTAGCTGCTTGAAGCAACTCTGATAATTAATCTCCAAAAATGCATAACCACTTTGTACTGTTTCATCTCATTTCGATTACTCCAGTGCTCAAATTCATGCAATTCTTCCTGCACATTATCCTGATCTTCCATGATGAAAACACATCTTGTGGTCATCCAAAACCTGTCAGCATATTCTTCTTACATTTTGTGCCAAAGTCATGAGATGAGAATATTAAATAAACAAGAAGCAGGAGCTTTGGTAAGATTAGTCCTAAAACCAATGCTTGAAAGACTCCAGCAGTAACCTTCTTCCAGCCCAGCAGTTCCCCTTTCAATACTACCTGTTGCCATATCCTCAGGTGGGTTTCTTGCCCACCTTACAATTCCTGCATTAATTCCCACTGTGCTGACAGGCATATGCAGGCATTCTAATATGCTTTGGGGGTGGAGTGCTTGAAACCACGCCACCTGGGAAGCCACTAGAGTATTCAATATCTTGCACACCAGAGAACGTTATCCAAATGCAGGCTGCAGTTTAATCTCATTGACTGCCATTTAAGAGTGAGGAAGGTTGAGTATTTCTTTTGAGACAGACAAATGCTGCTCACTTCAGCTAGGCATTAAGTTTCATGCACTGATTGACACCTAGGAAGAAAAGATACACCTGGGAGTGAACAAGTCAACAGAAAAAAACCTCTTGTCTCCTCAACTCTGGGTTTGCCTCAGAAGGGATAGGTTTGGTTCCTGGGGCTTTTATATGTCAATGAGCCAAAACATACCCAAGCAAAAATGATGCAATGCCCCAGTGTGGCAACCATCGGAGTTACACATTCACATAGACACCCAACATTTTCAGCTGCTGATCACACGTTCTGATCCCTTTCACAGCAGCACCCCTTTACTGCTGTGGCGTGACCACTCCAGTGCTCCGACTCTTCCCTTGTGAATCTCTCATCTCTGGCTGCAGGAAAATGGGAAAAGAGAGTTTGTCTCAGTACCCTTTGCAGAGCTAGAACAAAACACAGTCAGCTCCTCCTAGTGGGAGCATCTAGAGCAGGGGTTATGAACCGGGGCTACACATACCCCTAGGGGTACTTGGAAAGGTCACAGGGGGTATGCTGCTGCTGCCCACCGCCGCGCACCACTTTTCCAAGGCTGGTGCCACAGCTGGTTGCTGCTGATGGGTGGCACGCAATTGGCTGGGCATGAAGCCTGCATGCGAGCCCCAACCCCTCCCCCCTCATTGCCACCAGAAGGGGTACACTTGCTAAAAAGGTTGAAAACCCCTGATCTAGAGCATTTTAGCCATCCTGGTAAAGATGTATTTTCTCCATCCCAGTTTGTACCACTGTTGTGTGGGGCAAAATATGATTAGGGTGCAGAATATGAAGTTCTGTGGGGCAGCTGATAGGTGTGGGAAGGAGGAATCCCTTATAGGATGGGTCTAAGGGTAAAAAGCAGTCCGTGATTGCCAAAATGATAAGCTGCTGCCCTCTGTTGGTCAATTAATACTTTGCCAAGCAATAGTGAAATTATGAGGCAGGAGACACTAGAGATAGGGGAAACAATAGCCTCAACTGCAGAGTAAAGCAGTTTTAAGGCAAGTCAATTTCATTTTCTAAAACTACTGACAGCAATTCGAGCTGGGCATCACTAGCTGTCAAAAAACAAGCATGAGGCAAGCCACAGCCCCACAATAGCCTTAGGGCAGAATTACAGGTTACTCACATTCACAAGCTCTTGCTGGGAATCTCTGGACCATGCAGACCTGTCACTTTGGCTCGTTTATACAGGTCCTCTGTGCACATCTCCTCTATTCCCTCATGCTTGCGCTTTGGAGAGGCCTGGCCAGACTGTGATGGCTTCAATGCTGCAAGGGGGAAAGAAGTATCACTGCAACATCTCTTTTGACCCCAAGAATCTTCACCCTGACACTTGAGGCATTTGGCACATCAGACAGCAGGGGAAAATGAAAGTGTACGAAGCCAAAGCCAGGGGAAATGCAGCCACAATCTTCCCACATTTTTGACAAGTCTCAGACAGGGTGACTTCCAGCCTAGGACAAACCCTGGAGTCTCTTGTTTTAGTGAATAGCAGTCTTATACGCAGTTATTTTGGTCTTCCCCTACAAATAAATCTCTTCCTAACATGACCTATGCCTAGGCAGTCTCCAGGGAGCTGGGATACATGATGCCAAAAGGGCAGTCATTGACTCACTTCAGTAACCCTGAGTTCTGTGTACGTTTTTAGGAAAGAATCTCTTGGTGAGTCCCAAGCAAGCCTAAAAGGGAGGTGAAATAGATCTTTATTTCCCTCCCCACACTCCCTTTTCTCTTGTTGAATTAGCCTATGGGCTCCAAATACCTATCAACATATCCGGGTATTTTACAAAAAGCTCCTGCTCACCTGTACTGGTGCTGCAGCCCTGAACTGAAGCTGGATCTGTGACTGGGCCACTGAGATCATCTGCACAGGAAGGGACTGATGCCAATAAACCTAGGAAAGAGAAGGAAGAGAACTACAAATGCATTTCTGAGTAAGGAACATGCACTTTCTTTTCATTAGGAGCTTGGAATGCCCTGGTGCGATTACCACCTGGAGCATTTCTATCTGTAAAAGGCAGGTTGGATTCAGAGCTCAGTTCTTGCCAGGGATGCAACCCATGGCTTTCTTAATCTATCAGCACTCTCAATGGTTTTTCACCCTAGGCTTGTAGGGTGAAAAACTGACCAACAATGGCGCAGGGCTTCCAGTCATTAGAAGGACTGTGTCCAACTTCAGTCTTCTGAGAACAAATCCTAAAAGCCACAGACACACACTTGGTCTCGTCTGCCATCCTAAGTAAAGCATGCTCCTTAGGTAATTTTTTGGCAGAGGCCATTACCTCCTGCAAAGGCTAGTCAGGAGCATGGGCTTGTTACTTGTGAACCACTCAGTAGCATACTATCTATCTCCTTCAGCAGATACTGGGATAGACTGCATTATGGAGAGAATCTCTCACAGCTACCGGTACTTACAGAGCCCCCTGTAGCGTGACAGCTGCTGGTATATCTGTTTCATGCGCTCAATGTTTAGCCGGCTGGTCTCAGCATGGTTCACCATGGGTTTGGGGTAGTCCACCCCAATGATGCACTTGGCTGCCTTCTGCACCGACTCTGGGGCATTCCAGGGCTCATAGATGTATCGCGAGGGAAAGCCTTTTAGCTTGGGCAGATATCGCCTGCAGCCCAAATAAAGAGAGGCACTTACATTATTTTACTCAAAGTTCAGCAGCATGGTATTTGCAAAGCAAAGGATAAGCAACCAGTCAGACAGCTGCCGCATTACCCCAGCCACCCAGTTTATGCAGGTGTGTCACTGGCATACTAGACTGTATGGGGGAAGAACCCATCCATGTCACTCACCTAACGTAGTCACCACTGGGATCTGTGCGACGGCCAAAGCCCACAGGGCAGTAGCAGTGGAAGAACTGTTGAAAGAAAGCACTGCACGAAAGCCACATCCAGCTGCCTGCGTTTACACTGAAATCTGCATCCAGAAGCAGCTCATCAAACACCTGCAGCAATAGGAGGGGAAGCCAGTAAGGTCCTACCCTTGGAGGGTCCTTAACTGTAGGGGACATTTTACATATTAAGCACTGAGTTGTAAGAAAACACTTCCCAGTAACTGAAACAGGAGCAGAACTGCAGCCCACTGGCTCAAGCCATCTGTCTGGTTGTGTTTCCTTACCTTTTCAGTCATTTCCAATGGAACACATAATCTGGTCATGCTATTAATGGCCAAGACTTTGGACTCTGCTGCTGTTCAGTTTTACAGAGATTCCGACAGTGACCTTAAATGTGGAGGTGTAATGCAAGTATGAAGCACTGACCCTGGGAAGAAGGATAGTTTTGAACATCAGGACAAGCACAGAAGTGCAAAAAAAAAGAGTTACATATGGTTATCCCCTTACTCTGAGGAGAAGCAGGGTTTCAGCAATAAGCCACTAAACCTCTTATCAAATCATTATTTTTTTTAAGTATCCCAAAATATGAGTCTTTTACTTCTCCTTGGGACACTGTGTAGATTAATATTTCACAGTTAGAAGTTTTCCTTGATTAGAGTGGAAGTAAACTGTATAATGAAAAGGAAGGTCCTGCTAGGTCAAAAGCAATGAAATGTATACAAAAAAGATGGACTTGGAAGCACTTTGGCATCTACCAATGAGTTCTACCACTTTCAAAACCCCACAGAAGGTAGCAAAAGACAGGCAGATGAGAGCCTGGAAGAAAATCTTCCTTTCTATACTACTTTGCACAACAAATGAAAGCCACAGTTGTATTGTCACCCTTGAAGAACATGCCAAGAGGACTCTGCACTAAATGGTTGGCTTTCTGCCTCTGGAAATTCCACACTCACCCTTACTCCGCACTCCCAGCTGATCCAGAGGTCACCCCGGGTCAGGAAGCAGGCCACAGCGTGCCTGGCTAGGTGGTGGATCCAGCCTTCTTGCCGCAGTTGCGTCATGATAGCATCAATCCAGGGAAAGCCTGTTTTGCCCTCGGCCCACTTTGCCAAGGCTTCAGGATTCCTGTCCCAGGGGATCTGGATGCAGATTGGGTTCCCTTCCATACGGTCAAATTTGGGGTTGTTGGTGGCTGCTGTATAGAAAAATTCACGCCAAAGCAGCTGTCCATATAGTGAGAGAGGTGGGGTGCTATTTCGCTTCACCTGTGGAAGAGGAGTGACAAGACACAGGGAAGATGCATAAGGAGGAAAATTAGCCTTTACCCAGCTCTTGCACTTGAGCAGCTGAGCTCAAGCCCACCTACACATTTATACAGGTTTCCCTCGCTTTATGCGGGTTCTGTATGTGTGAATTTGCTCTTATGTGAAGACCCTTTTCATACCAAAAATTTGTTATATGCAAGGTAAATTCACTCTTAGATGACTGGCATGGTGGAAGCCTGCAGTCAGCTGCTTTGTGCGGTGCATTGTGGGAGTGACGCGCACCAAAATAGTCTCCTATGTGGATCTGTGCTCCTTATCTGTGACATGTTTCTGTAGTTGCTATCCCCATCATGATAGTGCCCTGTGCTTGTGTGTACTGTCTGCTATTGGCGAGTATGAAAACTGTCTTGTAAAAGAGGTAGAAGTGGGTCTGGAGGTCAGTACAGTCCAGGTCTTGGAATGTATCCCTATTTGTTACATTGCAAAGTGGATTCCTTTTATGCAAATTCGAGTTATGCAACGTTTTCCAGGAACACATGTATAGCATAAAGCAAGGAAAACCTGTACAAGCAGGTCCCATTCAGGGACAAGGTCAGCTAATGACAGTTGGAAGGGCTGAGATGTTCTCCGAGCAGCTCTTTACCAATATCCCCATTCCCAAGGTGAGAAACCATTTGCCTGATACATTACTGGAAGTGACTCATCCAGATGACAAAGACTGTCATTTCAGTTAACCCTAGATCTTACAACCTTGAGGGCCCAGCCTTGAGAATCTGATTAGCTCCTCTTAAAACCTAATTATGCTTACATGTTCCCTTTTTCTCACCTTCTTATATAGCTCCCAGAGGCGGTAGTAGAACAGGCGGCAGGACAAGCAACCAAAGCGTAAATAGGGACTGAGCCCTGTTGGGCTGGCCAGCAGCGAGTTGGCATTCATCCTTGGCCTTTCATAATTTGCAACCCAAGCCTGAGAGCATGTGGAGGAAGAAGTAAGCAAAAGAGAATGGGTTTGAGAAATGCAGTACTTCAAGGGTCCAGAGGCCTGCCATTAACTATCTATAGTGGATTTATTAGTTGATCAATGGGTCTTTCACACTACCCCTATGGAATTGGCTTGGGACATCTCCAACAGATGGACAAAGTGGCAACTTCCAGTCCTACTCCAGTAAGAGGCACATGAATCATTCAGAGAGGATTCAGTCCAGTCACTGTGGCCTGGGAGGGGGTTATTAGTTCATGTCTGTAGTGTGGGAATGGGCCTATGGCCTCCCAATGGTACATCCTGGTATGTGGGGTATGTCTACATTAGGGGCGAGCAATTATTTTGGGCAGAGGGCTGCTTACTGAGTTTTGACAAGTCATAGACAGCCGCATGACAGGCAGTCCAGGGCAGATAAATATTAATTTTCTAAATTTTTTAGGGGCCCCGCGGGCCAGATAGGATGGCCTGGTGGGCCGCATCTGGCCCACGGGCTGCGTTTTACCCAACCCTGGTCTACATGATAAAGGGTCTTAACCATCTCCCTGATGTCTTCTATTCTGGATGTACCTAATAATTACAAAGCATGACAACTTGTCATGATATAACAGAGCAGGGATTCAGTGGAATGTTCAGCAAGAAGCTCTGAAGTATTATCAGCCCCTAAAACAGGACTTGAGCTATCAGCTCCATAACTGCCATAAGAAACGGCTGGTACTAGAGACTGATCAAAAGCTTTAAAAAGTCATTTCTGTCTGAACAATTTACCTTCTATCATTGAAACACCCAAGACTTCTACTGCTCTCTTTCAATGTATTTATTCTGCACATACTAATAAAGACACAGTTATAAGAATGTATCTAGGTATTACAGTGACTGGCCCAACCAATACCAAGTAATATGGCATGTTGTATTAAGAGTCCTCACCTGTGCAGTGTGGAAGTGTCAGTCTGTTTGCCCTTGTCCTGTTATTACACCTGGACCTGCATAAATAGGTCTCAAAATGAAGACTAAGGAGATGAAAGTCACCTGTAGAAGGAACTACACTTTCATGGGAGGCTTGTAGTCCATGCTATTCCAAAGGGAGGGCGACTCCACACCCTTAAGACCCCAAGGGAGCTGCATCATTGGCAACTCTTGCAAGCAAATTCCACCATTAGATGTATGAGTATCAGAGAACCTCCATCCCCATTGGGTCTTTTGAAGGCTAAGAGTGGCAATGCCACAATCTCTATGCCAAACACAGCCCAGGTTATACAGAGACAAATCTCATCTCTGCTCATGTCTCTGCAATGTGGAGAGCTGTCTCTGGTTAGCACGTGGCGGAAGTGACAGCTAGTGTTAATATTTCCTAGCTAAGGGTTCAGCACACAGGAAGTGCTACCAGGTGAAATAAGGTTACCTTTCTTTCCAAATGCTTATCCAGGCGTGCCAAGGCCTCCATTTCCCCTCCTTGCCAAACTGCTGCAGCAAGACCATCTGTGGGAAAACCTGTGAAGAACAAAGCTGGTAAGGTCTAAAGCCAACACAAGGTAAATGGCCTGGCTGGGCTCCAATTCTTGTAGTAATACAAGCAAGCTGAATAAGCAGCTCATTTTTGATCTTGGAATATTTGCTTTATTGTTGCTTGTAACACGGTGGCCTCCTCGTCAGGTCTCCACCAGCTGCCCTGCTCCTGAGGTAACGACCTGCTTCACTATCCCGCCACGCCTTGATGGAAAAATATGAGAGTTGCTACTAAGGCGGGAGGATACCCATTATATGCCCTGCTGACAAGGGCCTTAATACCTGCTCCAACCTCCTCTCTATGGGTCCCATGCCTCGCAGATGTTGTTCTGTTACCTCTCCAGCTTATGGCTGGAGCAAACTGAGCGCACAGTTGTAGCTCTACCCTACAGCCCCAGAGAGCCACACCCCCTCTCACCGGGTTCCCACTCATTCCACTGGCTCTCACCCAGCCTCTTTCATACTGCCCTCTCTCCCAGGCCACACACATACTGCCTTGCTTCACCCGGCTTTCGGCTTAGCTCTTCATGCCTCGGTCAGGCCCGGTGCAGTTTGTTGGGCGTCTCCTGCTACCCTCACCCGAGCGTTTACTGAGCAATTCTACAACTGCTGGCCCACTTCACTCCTGGCCCCTCGCCGAGCCACTAGACCCCACTGGGCCTCCTCACTCACCTATTCACTGGACCTCTACTCACTTGCCCACTGTAGTCATTGCCCCTCTCTCTCAGGGTCTCTCTAGTTGTCGCTGCTCTCTCTCAGGGTGTCTCACGCCCCCAGGCTTTAACCTCCTCTGGACTGAGCTCTGCCTCAGGGCTGCTTAACAAGCCCAGGCTCCCCCTGCTCATTAGAACACTGCCAGGGATGTGGGCCTGGGGTTATAAAATGCCCCAGCCTGCCTTTCACCGGGGAGGTAACCGGCATTTCCTGGGGGTCTCCCATGCCAGTAGGAGTCCCACCAAACCACCCTTCCCCAGCAGGGTGCAGTTTTAAGCCTTACCCAGGACAAGGGATCACCTCCACCCCATAGCCCCTGCCTTTACCTCCTGATATTCCTGGAGCAGCCTCTCAGCCTGACGCTACCTCTTTTCTCCTGCAGCAAACTGCAGCCCAGCTTATATCCCTGGGTCCAAAAATGGTTGCCCTTATCAGGCAGCTGGCTGTTTTCTGCCCTTAAAGTGGCAGGCACCAAAGGTGCCCTGCCACATTTCTGTTCTTGTCCTTCTACAACAGAGCAAACCATTTAGAGCCAGGAAACAACTGTAATCTGAGAGATGGCAGGGTAGATATGCACCATCATTCTCTCTCACACTATCCAGGAAAAGTGATTATCATGATACCTTAGTGTGCCCTAGGCCAGGGGAAGCTCTGTGTCAATGATAAACAGAATAGGCAACAGGGGGCACCTCAGACAGCCTGCAGATCCCCAGGGTCCATGGAGCACAGGTTGAAAACCACTGGTTTAGATGGATACTGCTTTAAAAGGAGCCAGCAGTACTGTGGATTTCAATGCACCAAAGCTTTTGTTGAGACCTACCAAACTTTTCATCAAGCCTTTGCCTTCCTACCAATTGGAAAGTATCCCACAATATCCTCATACTATTGGGCAGCTGGTGGCTCATGGTGACAGTGTTGCATGCACAAAGACAATCCTCTGCATAGCAGCAATAATTTGGCCTTTCCCTTACCTTTAGATTCAGATACTATCAGGGGATGGGGGGTGGCGGAGATTGTGCTCTGGCCTCTTCCCCAAACATTTTGTTTCAGTATCAATGGGTGAACGGACTGAATATAACAAACACGGAACTAACTACTGTATCTTCTCCCTTCCCTCCACCCTCTTAGAAGTAAAGCCCTCTCCCTCCAGGATCAGGCAGCAGAAAATGAGTGGAAATAGGTTCAATAATATCTTTCACCTTTGTGACCAACCATTTTTAATTTGGGAATTCACAGGCAAGGCAAGTTTGATTGGCACAGATTAACCTGTGATAAGTATTCATTAATATTAATATGCTCCTCCCCAGTTGTTGCATGCAGTCTTATCAGAGAATAATGACAGAAGAAGCAGTTGGTTATGCCTGTGCAACACTGACAAAGGCTGTAAGCGCCAGAACTAAGAACAGGCAAAGAACTACAGGTCAGGACTGAGGTATCGCAGAAGTATGGGAAGCGTGCAGTTTGCAGTAGACTTGAGCATTAGAATAGATCAGGGGTGTCCATCCTTTTTGAATGTGGGGCCGGATCACAAACTTTTGATCAGTGGGCCGGTGAGCCATATTCAAAGACCTCACAGGAAGTGGTATCACATCAGGAAGTGATGTCATGTGACCTTTGACATCAATGAAGGTGCAGGAAGTGACAATGAAATGGGTCTGGAAACGTGGTTTAAAACCCAAAATAAAAACAATAAAAACAGTACCTGATCTAGACCCCAGGAGGCAGCAGGCATCCTGCCACCAGTCAAACAAGACCTTGGGAAGAAATTTCCAACAGCTTCTTGCCAATGGGAGGAGGTAGAAATTAAAGAGAAAACCTCTTCCCCTTTTCTTTTTGTCCATGTGTTAACTGACAAGGCACAGAATAGAGCCTGAAAACCTTGCTGTATTTCCAGTACCAGCCCTCTGTTCACAAAGGTTAGAACAGCGAGGGAGTGGAACAGACTGCCTAGGCAAGTTGTGGACTCTTCATCATCGGAGGTGTTCAAAAAGATGTTGGACAGCACTGGTCGGGTATGATCTAGGCCAGCGTTTCTCAAAACATGGGTCACAACCCAAAAATAGGTCTCAGGAATATATGAAAGGGTCACGAGCAAACTTTAAAAATGGGTTCTCCTTTAAAGGAGAAAAACATATAACTGTGGCTTTTCTCTTGTGGGCTGGCAGAGGTCCAGCCTGCAAGGGGCTACATGGGGCCCCACCATGCCCCACACACTGGGGCACTGGGGTCTGGAGGTAGGAGCAGTGAGAGACACTGGGTCAGGACTGACCATCTAAGTTTACAAATGGGTCCTGGTACAAGAAAGGTTGAGAACCATTGATCTAGACTGGGGTGGGCAATTACTTGAGGCAGAGCGGAGCAACACAGGGCACAACCCTTGCTCCTCAGGCTCTCAGTCACTGGTCCAGCCCCGGGGGAGGCACTGTCTTCCTGCCCGGCCCTACCTGCAGCGCCCCAGCCAGACAGGAGGCAGCAGAGGCAGACAACGAGGGCGAGCCCGGCCATCACGCCACCTCTGCGGGTCCGCATCGCAGTGCCGTGCTGGGCTGCAGGGAGCCGAGGCTGGGTGGCACCTCGGGGCGCGAGCGCAGGCTCCACCCGAGCCCGGGGCCACCCCGCGTGGTGCGGCCAATACCGACAGCCCAGTGGGAGGAGGCACCTGCCCATGCCGCTCCGCCTCTGCCAGTGACCCAGGGCCGGGTGGCCAAGCCGGGCTGCCTCTTGCCTGCGGGTGGGGAGCAGCGAGTCGCTCAGGCAGGGAAGCGGTGGCTTCCCCACGTGGTGCTGGGGACGGGAGGAGGCGGGCCGGGTCTGCACTCCTCTTCCCACATGCACCGCATCAGCAACGTCAAGCTGATGCAGTGCGTGTGGGAACCTTGTCCCTTTCCCAGCCCTTCAGCAGCCATTAGGAAGCTGCTGAGGGGCTCGGGGATGGACAAGGGATTCCCGTCGCAGCACCGCAGGCTGCAGAAAATGGCTTGGTGGGCCGCATGTTGGACAAGCCTGGAATAGATTGTCAGTGGTTCATTTTCACAAACTCAAAGACGATGAATGCCAAAATGCTATTTGAAGGCTGAAGATGGTCCAGACCTGCTAAGAGTAGCAAAGGCATTCTGGAAAGGTTAGAGACAGCAAAAACAGATCCTCAAAGAGCTTATTTGACTAGACATTACTCCCTCCTTAGCCCTGGTCACATACCCAGCTCCTCCAGAGATGGGACTCCATACACATCGTCATGATTCTCCTGGATCTCAGCTTTGCACTTCTCCATCTGCTGGCTTGTTATGCTGCTCACTGGCTTCTTGGGAAGCTCCATGCGGCTAATGATGGCTTGGAAACGTTTGTAGGTGAGGGGTGGTTTGTTGCCATTCAGCTCAATTATTCTAGGAGGGGGAAAAAAGAGAGTTAAAAAACAGTCTTGCTCCTACAAAAAGATTGTGGGACAGCATGTTAAAACTGCTTCCCCCCTACTCCCTTGGGATATTCCTTCCCCTGAATAGAGGAATCCCAGACAATCCCATCTTCCATTTGAGTCTGTTCCCCAATACAGGTACTGAAAACACACACCAGACCCGTTTCTGTGAAGAGGAAAAAAGAAATCTACCCTCAGTGCCACACTGCCTCCCAGAAAAACCCTAGCCTAAGCATCTTCATCCTCCCCACTACGAAATCCCAGCCTGCAATTGTTCCTCCCTATCACTCCCGGGTGATACCACCCCAGCTTATATACATCCACCTCACTACACAAGTCAAATCCCTGCCTGGGACTGCCCACCCTCATTTCCTTTGCTTCACTAAAGGCTAGAAAAATCCCAGTCTGAGCTGACTGCCATTTCTCCTGCTCTTGTCCTAATGAGATAAATCCTAGGGAATGGACAGACCTAAAGCTTAGAATATTTAAAATAGGTTTTAAAACCCAAGAGTCTAGACATACAGGCCACTTAAGACCAGTTTGTTTCAAAAGCACACTGGGAAAAATCAAATACTATTTTGAAGTGGTGCTCCATGATATGTCTGGTCAGTTCTTCAGCATCCCAAACTGTACCACTCTTCACCCATCCACAAACATATGCAGACCAAGGGGCTGCTCCAGAATGCAGCCAGGACTGTACTACCTACAGAGACCACAGTGGTAGGGAAGTGGAAAGCCTCCTTGCTAGGGATCATGGGCAGGGGTCCCAGGCTCATTTGGGGCAGGAAGTAGCTTGCTAGGAGCTGGGGGGATTAGGGGGTGGTGATGCCCTGCTCATGGTTCCTGGGCCTGGGTGCTGCAGGGGCTCCTCAAGAACTCTGCACGTTTTCAACTGTTGCCCTGAAAGCTATGTAGTCTATTTCTTGTTCCTGCTAGGGCCCCTGCAGCTGCTGGTTCTCAGGCTCTTTTTGGGAGGAGAGGCACTCAGTGGAGGGATTGCCCAGGGGGAGGGCAGGAGAGGCAATCCAGCTAAAACTTCAGCTTATTGTGCCCATGGGGCCACTAAAACGTTATTTTGTTTTTTTCCAAAATCTGCAAAGGAAACCATTTTGTCAATTCCACTTCTTTGCACAACCCATGCTGCAGGTCCTAGGCTCACTTGGGGCAGTGGAAGGGTTGCCAGGTCCAGGGTATGTGTCACCCCTGCTTGCCCCCTGGGCACCACCAGCAGACGGCCACACAACCCCCTCCAGCACTTGGCTACCTCTCCACTCCCCTTAACGAGGAGAAGCAAAATTGACCAAATGTTTTCCAGTGCAAGTTTTGCCAAAAGAAAAAAGCAGAGATCTTGGGGAGCCCCCAGGCACCAAGCCCTCCTCCCTGAGGCAGCACAAGTAGGGCTCTCACAAGCCCCTCAGCACCTGGCAACCCTTCCCCTCTAACACACTTCTTCCCGCTCCCCAAAGGAGCCTGGGATCCAGCAGCTGCAGAATTTTGTAGCAAGCCAAAACTGGCATAGCAGCCTTTAGGGAAGGGGTTGACATAGTGGAGGAGATTGGG